AAAGGGATTAGACAGTAGGTAGTAAACAGCCTCTCTAGGTTACACAAGCCCTTCCATGGTAACCAAAAAGTCAATAGAAAAACAAAACAAATAATACCCCTTTACTCCACTGGTTACAGGGGAACTGGAGAAAATGGGATCTAGGTTAACATTTATTTGAGCTATATGTCCTATAAGGTAATAAAGTATCTTTTTTAAATGGTCTCTTGGTCATGTAAACTATAACCTTTTGGTAACGATTTACCACTTTTCCAATGTAAGGGACTCCTTCCTACTGGTAGCTCAATTCAAGGTTGAAATCAGCCCAGCTGAAAAGCCAAGGGTTGAATCCTCCATTTCCTCATAGTGGAGACCTCCATCCACACAGTGAGTTAAAGAAAGCCCTTTACGGTGGTCCTTTGACTTAACCTCCTCCCATCAGTCAAAGGGCTATGAAAGCACCGGTTTTTCTTAAATGCCATTGACTGGTGAAAGACATCCTTCCCAACCCCCACTCTCTTCTCACTTCCAGAGCAATGACTCTCATTAATTATACCAGCACAGCACAGCACCGCCTGGCCTCCCTTCTAAATAGCTGCCAGATTTGTACATATCACCTCTGCCTTGATACAGAATGTGCACTGACACCAGGATCACAGAAAATCCTGTAGAAGCTGCCTGATACACAGTGAGATGATTGATGCACCTTGTGGTGGGCCCACTGTGCTACACATTGGAAGGAGTTTCTTAGGAAACTGCACTAGAAATCTGTGTTGGAAACAGATTTTTATAGCGGTACAAAAATAGTGCTTTCGATTGCAAAAATAGCCATATTTAAGATACTCGGATTTAACCAACAACAATCTTTAAGTTATATCCATGAAGCAAGAAAGTGAAGATGAATATTATCCTTGTTTCAATCAATGCACCAAGAAGTTAAGAGAATGATCAAAGAGCTTAATGATTAGCAAGGAGGAGCTATCCCTCTTTCAACATATATTTCTTAGTACTTGCCATGTACCAGACACTGATCAGATTCTAAGTCTTAGCTGGAATATAGATAGTACTGAAGTACAGAGCAGAAGCTGTCCTTATGGCCCTCCTCGTTGTATTGGTTAAGACTTTTAGAGACAAATAACAAAATTCCAAATCAAACTAGCTCGAGGGGGAAAAAATTAAAAAAGAAAAAACAATGACTAACTCCCACCTTAAGATAGGGGAAAAGATAAGGGATTCAGAAATGACTAGATCCAGGAATTCAGAATCATCATTTCTCTCGCACACTCATTCACACTTTTGCTTTCTCTGCTTTTCCCAAAGTTTTGATCTTATTCTCTCCTGTTACATGTGACCTTCCTCTATAGCCTGGTGGGAGTATGGAAAGCATTACCAGGGACAGCTCCAGGCTTCCATCATCTCAGCTCCTGATCCCTGAGGGAAGAGAGGCCTTCTTGCTTTTATCATCTGTAAATAAGATTGTAGGAAAGGATTTTAATTGAGCTGGTTCAGGTCATGTATATATCCACAGATCAATTTATCTGGTCAGCAACAAGTAGAGTATATGTGTAGTCAGTCCCTGATTACATACCCACCCCTATAGCCAGGGAGATAGGGTAGTATGAATAGCCGCCCCAGAACTGCTAGAAGATAACATGGGGAGGATTTGTTCCCCATAGGACAGTAGAAAGGGATTCTGGCAGATAAGAAGAGCAGGTGCTTCCTACAGTGCCCCCTCCTGAACTGGCCACCAAAGAAAGACATAAACACCTTGGTACAAATTCATATGTTTATGACAGAGTTTTGTTTTGTTTTGCTTTGTTTGTTTGTTTGTTTGTTTGTTTTAATGAGAAACTTCCTGAGTCTATTAGGAAGGTTTGGGGTGGGGGAAACCAATTTAAGGGTCAATAATCTTTCCCTCCCCAGTTGGAGAGTTTTGTTTTGTTTTGTTTTGTGTTTTCATTTTTTATCACAGAAATTTCCATAGGTCCACAAAAGTAGAATTATATAATGAAGCCCTATGTATTAGTCACATTTTCAACAATTATTAATATTTTGGCAGTCTTGTATCTATTCAGGAATGTAGAAATTCACTAAAAACTTAACCCATAAATTAACACATTATTGCTGTGCTATAATCTTGATGAATAGAAGAAATGAATGCCTCCAAAATAATGAAATTAAATATGACCAATACATGTGAAGCTCCTAGCAAAATTCCTAAAAAGTACCAATTATTATTGGCAACCTATTTGAAGCTTTTAAATGCTAATAAAGTCTACTCATTGAAATGTATTTGGCCAATGGAGGGGAAAAAATTTAAAGCTAATCTTCTTACCAATAGATAACAACATTTTTATGTGATCGATTTTTAAATGTGCTATTTATGTTTTCCTATAACAAGCCTATATAATTGTTGATGTACAAAATATCCAAACCTGTAGAGAATTGTTATGAGTTTATTTAGCCAAATTGACAATTGCCAGAAAGCAAAATCTCAATACATTGAGAAAATGCTCCGGAGAACGACAGCTTTGCAGCTTATTTTACACATTAGAATAAAAGGAGGAGAAGTAAAGAGCATTACATGAAATCCATTGGTGGTAGATTAAGGGGGCAAAAGAAAGCAAAACGGTGGGTAGGGGAATTCGATAAAAAGTAAAATGGAAAAACACATACTTTTACATCGATGGGTACAAGATACTTAATAATTAACATTTACAGCACATAGATATGGTATGCAGGGAGCAAGATAACTATGAGAGATTCTGTCTTGTGTTCTGGTGCCCTGAGGAGTCTGGAAAAGAAGATTACTTTGACATTTCAAAGGTATGTTATCTTAGATGCAAAAAGACAATTGGCTAACTTAAAGTTAAGATTGACCTTTGTCAAGAAAGCTAAAGGCCTAGGATGAAACTACCTGCCATCACCCACTTTTAGTTAGGAATTTTTATGTTCATATCATCCTCTGTGGTTACTTTCGGTCTCAGAGTTTGCAGGGCCCGCCAGGCTGGCCTCCCCTGAGCTTGTCAGGTTTAGTATGTGGTCCCTTTTCATCCACAGTTCCCCGTTTTGATCATAAATCAATCCCAAGAATGCATTAATGACCAACCTCCTGGTTGGATGCTGTGGTCCCATGGTGCTCTGGAGACTTATTCCTAGGAAATCATGGCGTCATCATTTATTTGTCTTGCTGTAATGGTGTACCACTGGGGGTGGGGCAAGACGGTAATCTTGGATGGAAGTCAAGGCTGAATTTTTCTCAAAAGGGAAAGGCAAAGGCAGGTAATAGGAGGCAGTCAGGTCTTATAGGCCTTCATTAAAGAAAAAAAAACTGGATCATTTCTAACCTATAAGATATCATGATCCAAGTTTTGCTGTCTCACTTTTCTGCATTTTTCATCTAGTTTAACATTTACTATAATCTGAGGGCACAACATACACCTCTTCGGTTTTCACAATCTGACCATGCGATGGGTTCCTACTTACCGATGTTGTTGTTGTTGTTGTTGTTGTTGTTTTGTTGTTATTTTAATATGGCCCATCTATTTCTCATTGGAAACACTCGAGTATCATTCACCATTAATCTGATTCCTGCTAGTTGTGCAATTAAGGTTTAATCAGGGCTAAGACTGTAAGAACACAACGGTGTGAATTATAATTAGCATCTAAAAATTTCCAGAGGCTAGGAGGACAGTAAACGTTTCATAAGTAAATGTCCTATGCCTCAACAGCTGTTACAAAGGGCCATTTTTTTTTTTTATATAGCCACTTCAGCTTGCATCTGAATTAACATAGTTATTAGTCTTGGTTGGGTTAGGAATAAGCATGTTCCCATAACTGGGTTCTAGCATTTATACATAAAATTCCTTTCACAAAATTCTTTTTCCATTTTCTACAACTTCCACAGTCCTTCTCACTTTGTCTCTTTTTACTCATTCAGAAATAACCAACGTATTAGGACAAACTTCTTCCTTTAACATCTCTCAAACACACTCACACATCCCTTTTCTTCCTTCTTCAGTAACATTCCTTCTAAATTTCAAAAGAGAAACCATAAAAAGAGTATTATTGATAATATAAAAGTTATCTTATACACCTTCAGCAATTATTAACAGTGAGTTATATAAGAATAAAGTTTGAGAAAAGCCCAAAGAACAAGTATAACTATTATTATGACTAATATTATTAGCAGACAGGTAAAGACAATCAAACAAATTTTTTTTTTAAGTTCGAGATCAATTATGTGGGGATACAGGCCTTCTGATGTCTTGGAAGAGCTGTCTACTACTGGTGTCGGTGACTTCTCATCCTTGAGGAGTCTTTGATGTCCGCTATAGACAAAGGCAAGTGTCAGACAGGGGCAGATGTCCATTTGCTGTTGGGCGCCCTTTTTAAATGAGAAATGTGAATCCATGAGTTAGTTCCTTTAAGTTTGGCTGCCCATAGATTAGCTGGTAATACCTGATAAGGTCCTTTCCAGTGAGGTTGGAGAGTCTTTAATTGCTGTCTTTTCCAATGGACAAAATCTCTTGTTGTAAGTCATGGTCCTTGAAGTCTCTATCTGCTGGGTGCACACTGTGAATGAATCAGTTACTCATTTATCAATTTCTTTAAGCTTGCTAATAAGTCCTTGTTGGTCATGTCGAATATCTCCTTTTAGTAAGATTGGTTCATAAGTGCTTTCACCCAGATGCATTGGGTGCCAGTGACTATGAGGAAAAAGGCTGTTTACCAAAAGAAGTAGATCTCAGGTAGAGAAGAACTATAGGGAGAGCTTTTGGCCAAGGGAAATTAAAAGCTTCTGAAATTTTACCTAGTTGAGTTTTAATTGTACCATTGTACATTCTACTAATCCAGAGGACTGGGGTGATAAGTGCAATGAAAATGCTGTAGAAGAGGCCAAATATTACAAATGGATTCCATTATTTGCCCAGTGAAATGAGTCCCTCAGTCACAATGTAACTCAGAGGAAATATCCCAATTGGGGATTATTTTTTCCAATAATAATAATTTGCCTACAATTCAGGCTGTTGCTCTCCTGCAAGGGAATGCCTCAACCCAGTGAGGCAGCATACAAATCATAACTAACACATATTTGTATCCTTGAGGTGGCATCAAGTGGACCTAAAGGAAGTGGGAAATGTCCTTGGGACCCATAGAGTGATTTTCCGGGTGATATTTTGGATGGATAGAACGTCTGCTACATACTTTATGAGCTATAGTAAGAGAAAGTTCCCAGTAATATTGTTTACTCCACGAAATCATCTTTTCAGGACCCCAATGTTAGGTCATTCACGTTTTGACATACAGGCAATTGAGCCCCTATAGGGAAGGTTGGTTTCTGATTGGGTTCAAGCTGTATCTGTTTGTCTGGGTCAAAGGTTCCCCCTTTTTGTTGCCATATCCTCCTTTTCTTCTTCTGCAGCTGTCGGTCGCAACTGTAAAAGAAGTGTTTTTAAATTGATTAACAGGAAGAAGAAATGTTGTCAGGTCTGGGTAATTTGGCTGCTTATTGCTGTTTGTGTAGCTGCAGATGTCAGCTAAATTTTTTCCTTTCACTCCCATGGTGGCAGCTTTAGAGTATCCTGGAATTTTGATAATTGCCAATTGTTTCTGTGACTGTATGACATCGAATAATTCTGCAAGCTGTCTTCCATACTTTATGAGCCGCCCTGAGAAAGTTAAGAAGCCTCATTGCTTCCACGACATTCCAAAGTCGTGAGCTACACCAAAGGAATAACGACTATCAGTGTAAATATTGGGTATTTGATCCTTGGCTGATTGACAAGCTCAAGTTAGCGCAATTAACTCACCTTGTTGGACATATCTTATTTCAGTCAGGTAAATTGGAAATTCAATTTTGTCCACCACGGAAGTTATTGCATATCCAGGTCAGTAATATCTCTGCTCATCTTTCACATAAGATCCATCTGTAAACCAGCATTATCAACAGGAGGTTCCTATAAATCGTTCCTAGGAACAAGAAGGTGGTCAGTAAGCAAAACACAGTTGTGGATGTCTTCATCCTGCAAAGAAGGTAGCAAAGTTGCTGGGTTAAAACTGGTATATCAAGTTAAGGTAATATTAGGCACAGAAAGCAAGAGTATTTCATATGAAGACAGTTGACCGAGAGAAGTGTTGAGTATGATGAGAGTTCAGTGGAGATTCAACAGAATGAGGAACATAAAGGAGAGCCCATAACTATTTTTTCTGCTTGTTTGCATAATATAGATGTAGCCGAGATGTCTATCATACAGGGAGGGAGCCCTTTGGCTACTGGATCTAATTGCTGACTGTAATATCCCTTAGGAGATAGGTCTATGATGATTGATCTCTGTCTTTGAGCTAAAACTCTTAAAGCATTTCCTTTATTTTAGTGCATAAAAAGAAAGTTTATAATTAAGGTGTCCCAGACCTGGAGCTTCAAATAATACTTCCTCTAGAACTTCTTCAGCTTGTTTCCCTTCAGGGTTCCATTGATTTGGATTGGGTCAATCTGATTTTATATGGCATATAGAGGCTGGGCCATTAATGAAAAATTTGGAACCCAGTTGGGACAGTATCCAGTCAGATTCAGGAACCCTCTAAGCTGTTTATTTGTTTGTTTTTAGAAAAGGAAAGGATAGGATTCCTCTGAGTCTTTCCAGGTTACTTAGTAGCCCATCTTTAGATATTTTAGATAGCCAAGGTAGTTTACTTGGGGTAAACAGATTCAAAGTTTGTCCTTTGAGGCCCTTTGTCCATTTATGGCTGTCTTAATAGGTAAATAGTGCCATCTTGGGAGCCTAATATGTCCTAGAGCATAAAAGTAAATCATCTACATACTGGATTAGAGTGGAATTTCTGGGAAATTCAACATCAGTCAAATCAACCTTTAATAGCTGAGAGAAATAGATGTGATTCCTTTTATTTCCCTGGGACATTACTGTCTAAGTAAACTCCCAATCTTCCCAGGTGAAAGTGAAGAGGTATTTACTCTTTATTTAAAGGAATGCTGAAAAAAGGCACTACATAAATCTATTGCTGAAAAATATTAGCAGTTTGCAGGAATAGCTGATAAGAGGGTATGTGGATTTGGAACCACAGGATGTCTGGGAAGAACTTTGATTTATAGCTATGAGATCCTGTAAAAATCTCCATCCTTTCTCATTGGGTTTCTTTACTGGAAGGATAGGAGAATTACACAGGCTCGTACATGGAATTATAAACCCCATTTTTAAGTAATCTTGTATAAAGGGCTTAATTCCAGCTACTGTATCAGGCCTTAAAGAATATTGGCGAATATTAGGTAGAGGCAAAGTATTGTCAATAGTTATTTTAATAGGCATAGCTGACTTAATCTTGCCAATATCTGTACTAGAAAGGGCCCAAAGTTGCATCGGAATGTCCTGTAACAAAAGTTCAATCTCAAGATTAGTTTCTTTTTGTGGAGGTTCTTTTAAAATCATTATTTTCTCAATCGGTTCAGTATCTGATTCATTTACTTCTTAGTGTTATTTCACCCTCCTGGGAAAAGGATATCTGGGTATCATTGGTTTCAAGAAAATCTTGCCCTATCAGGTGAATTGGGGCAGATTTGACTAGTAAAAATACATGTTGCTCCATAACTGGAAGGGAATAGGTTCTGATTTAAAACACACATTGGTGGATAAGATGTCCCTATCATTTGTACAGAAGCTTAGTCCAAGGGACAGGGCAACTTGGAAAAGGTTAAAAACAGATAAAGCAACCCCAATATCTATAAGGGAGTAGTTTCCCCTTTTATGGTAATTTCAATTTCTCCTAAAGTATTAGTAAGGAGAAGAGGAAATGGCCTCTCATAGTTCTTGAAGTAGCCCTAGGCTGGTTTCTGTTTCTTATCTTTTTCTAAATCCCATTTCACTTTTCTACAATCTTTTTTATGATGACCTGACTTTTTACAGTAAAAACAGATTCCTGTTTGCCTTGTCTAAAAAACCCTTGGGGAGGTCTGCTTAATTGCTGGAGCTATAAGTTCACAATTTTGGCAGCTTGGTCTTTTTCTCTCTTTTGAATAGTTTTAGATAGTTGATCAGCCAGAATGCCAGTTCATTAGAATGTGTGGTCAACCAGTTTAATTTTGTTGTTTAATCAGAGTTATAAACTCTTCATCTAGTCCTTCTCAAAATGCCAAATTTCGTAAGGGATCATTTTGACGATCCTTAAAACTGTGAGACAGACCTGAGTATCGTTTAAAAGTTTTTTTGAAATGTTCAAAGAAGTCAAGCACTGACTCATCAATCTCTCTTTTCCATTGCTGAATCTTGATTCAGTCTATTTTCCAGGGAAAAATCTCATGTATGGCTTGGTAAAGCCAGCGGGCTGATTCCTTGCATTTTTCCCAATTTGTCTGTTTTAAAAAGTCATGGACAGGAGTTTCTCAGGGAACTTTATTTAGCCATTCTGTTGCATTGTTCTCAGAAATCGATAGGAGTATTAATTGGAATTAGTCAGAATAGCCAAGATCATATGTTCTAACAGTTAAATACAATTCCTTTGTGAACACTTCAGGGTCCTAGAGGTGGATTCCTTAATTCTGTTAGTCCAAGAAATGTATACAATTGCTGGTTCCCTTCCGCGTGCATCAGCTTTTCTCCAAAGGGAACTGCCAGAATTTCTATTTTGTTGGACAATAACAAAGTAAAGGATACAGTGGGGCATTTGGAGAAGAGGGAAAAGTAGGGTATTGGCACCGAGCAGCTCTGAAGCCTTCCTTAGTTCAGAGACAGTCTCTAAGATTTTCTTATTAATTTCCTGGAGAGAAGAAAGTCTCATGCTCCATTTCAGAGTCTTCTATCTGCCAATTGACATAAGGCTCCCATTCATTCGGTTTGATTTTAGAGCAGGCTTTTTTTTTCCTATTGAGCTAGCGAAAATATTTTAGGTGTCCAAAGAACTCTCTCTCGAGCATCTCAAGTTGATATTTCTAGTTAATTTTCCCATGTTGTAAGTACTTACAAATAAAGACCTCCTACAAATTGTACATCTGCAGGAGTATTATGAAATGAGGTTAGGGGGTTGGGAGCTTGTTGGCCTTGAAGACATGATTTCTCACATTAATTTTAGTTTTCTATTGAGATCCACAGAGACTGAAAAAATTTTTCAGTATTGTGTAGTAGGCTGAAGTGTGCTGCTTATGGGTTGAGCTCCAAAGGGCTGTCATCTCCTGAGTTGCTCCAACCCCCTTATGTGTCTTAGTTTCTCTCTCTAGCTGTTAATGCAACTGTGAGGACTCAGAGCACTAGGTTTCCAGCCTTTCTGCGCATGTCCCTGGATGAGTCAGTTATTTAATTATAGTTGTGTTGGAATTCCCTATGGGGCACTGCTTGTCTTGAGGGGTACCTTCAGACACCTCTCCATGGATTCTTAGTAACCTAAGCACTCCCAAAATTTGAGCTGGAGGGAGTAAATGCCTCTCAACTTCAGAGCTGAGAGTTCAGACTCTCATTTATCTAGCAAGAGGTATTCTTCAGACTCCCAGTAAGCAATTCTAATTGAAAAGCCAAAATTAAAAACCAGCCACCCATTTTTTTCTCCTGTTACTGAGTTATCTCAGCTCTTATCTTTTAGTGCCACCTCGAGAATTTTTTTTTCCTAAGAACAGCTGAAATAAAGTCAGGGCCTTCTACCTTAAAACAGAGAAGTCTAGAATTCCAAGAAAAAGTCACCCAAATCCACTTAATGCAAAGTAGGAGCCAGTGTGGCACAATGGGCCCCTGCTGGTACCTGGCCATAGGTCCAGGTCTGCAAGGTGGTCCTGGGCGGGTTTCTTTGGAATCCTGCCCAAACATCCACACCTGTAGCAAATTTTCATGAGCTTATATGAGCCAAACTGACCATTGCCAGGAAGCAAAATCTCAATGGATTGAGAAAGTGCTCTAGAGAACAGTTTTGCAGCTTATTTTTACATTAGAATAAAAGGAGGAGAAGTAAGGAGCATACATGAAATCCATTGGTAGTAGATTAAGAGGGCAGGAGAAAGCAAAATCGGGGGAATCTCTGGGATTGGATAAAAAATAAAATGGAGAGATACATACTTCTACATTGGTGGGTACAGGATAGTTAATAATGAACATCTACAGCACATAGAGATGGTATGCAGGGAATAAGATAACGATGAAGGGTTCTTGTGGTCCTGTGCTCTAGTGCAGAGGTTGTGCCCTGAGGAGTCTAGAAAAGATGACTCTAGCATTTCAAAGGTATGTTATCTTAGATGCAACAAGACAATAGCCAGGCTCACTTAAGGTCAAGATTGACCTTTGTCAAGGAAGCTACAGGCCCAAGATGTGACTACAGGCCATGAGTCACTTTTAGTTAGGAATTTTTATGTTCAGATCATCCTCTGTGGTTACTTGCGTTCTGTAAGTTTGCAGGGCTCACCATGGTGACCTCCCCTGAGCTTGTCAGATTTAGTATGTGGCCCCTTTTTTGTCCACATAATTGTTTCTCCTTTTACATGGAAATGTAAAACATGTTACAAGCAACTGCACCTTTCAAATAAGGAGAAAGTGCAGGTTAAATTGTCTAGCTCAGGAATGAGTTGGGACTAGATATCAGAATTGTAAACTCTAGATTACCTACTTTAATACCTTGGCAAAACAATTCATCCCATGAATGCCGGACAACGATGAAATAGCAGAGCTGCGCCTGCCTAGGTTAAGTTCTTCAATTTAACTAAGATTTCCTTATATGCCAATTACGCTTCTCAAGAGATTTTCAGTTCCCAGCACAGAATGAATACTATTTAAAAGGCAGAAATAAAATGTTAAATAAATAAACAAACAAACTGGGAAAAAATAAATAATAAATAAAAGGCAGAAAGTATGCTAATTAAAGTGAACTTTTTTTCATTTTCCATTTTTCTCTAATTTGTTTCATTGTTTTCTTTCCTGGGTAGTTAGGAGGTGGGGAATGAAGTATTTTAGAGAAAACAATAGTGTCAGAGAAGGACAGAGCCCCTTTTCTTTCTTCCTAAGAGCTTCACAACTCTGTTGTGTGCTTTGTTTCCAGAAAGATAACCCTTCCCCCAACCCCTGCCAGAGCTAATATCTACAACTTTCAAGATGGTCTGAGCCTGCTGGGTGGGACAGACATGTAATTGAAGTACCTTCTTCAGCCTAAGAAATAATTTTGAAACTCTGAAATTACATATGTCTAGTATGGATTATACTGGGTTCCCCACCCATACTACCATTAAAAATCCCTTCAGAATCCCATAATGTAATTAAAAGAATAGCATCTCTTCAAAACCTATCTAATTGCAGACCAGTCATTCAGTACAGCAATCGTTTTTATAGACACTGAACAAAAGCTTTAGGCAAATGAGCAAATCATATTGTTGAAAGAAAATGAAGAAAGAAACTAGTTAAGACAGAATGTAAATTCTAAAGCTTTGAAAGCTGGAGGGTGGGGAGTGGAAGGAAGAAAGGCGATCCACACCACAAGGAAATTCTATGTCCATACTCTTTGGAATCCTAATGGAATAAGCACTCCTCATTCCCAATACCTGTTTTTTTTTTGAACCTGAAAAATCACTAGGTTTTTTCACACATAGTAAAAGGGAAAACTGCATTTGAAAACCCATGTTAGTTTTGGTTTCATTTATTTGCATGTTTAAACTAAATATGTATTTAGGGGGCTTGATTTGTCCAATGTAAATATCATTTTCAAATTTGACAATTTTAAAAAATGTTCTTTCAGACCATTTAAGGCAAATTAATCTTCATAGTGTAGGATCCTAAGATGTACAGGCAACTAGTTTCCAGTGAGCAAGAAACTGGGCTAAATGCTGTGGAGGGATCAGAATGATTGAAAATTTATTAAGTAATGGTTTAAGTTACAGGACCCACTATACCTTGGACAGAGAGAACACATGTAAGTAGATCAATATAATGTGACAAGTGCTAAGATAGGTATGTGTACAGTGTTGTGGAAGAACAGAAGAGGGCGCTATCACTCAATTTTATTGCTAAATTACCTACAAGCTGTGTTTTGATAACCAAAACAGAAAATGATCCCAATACCTAAATTAAAAAAAAAAAAGATTTTTTGTTTCTTTCCTGATCAGAGCTTTGGCACATGTAAAAAATTCTGACCAATAGTTTTCATGGGTTTTCTTTTTTGAGATTTTCAAGAGGAAATAAAAGCAACCTTACTGAATAAATTAAATTGCATTTCAGGACTACAGCAGTAAACTAGAAGATTAGAGGGACACTCTGGGTGAGACTCAAATAGGTCCTGGGAAAAGAAGGTCTCGAGCATCTCAAGTTGATATTTCTAGTTAATTTTCCCATGTTGTAAGTACTTACAAATAAAGACCTCCTACAAATTGTACATCTGCAGGAGTATTATGAAATGAGGTTAGGGGGTTGGGAGCTTGTTGGCCTTGAAGACATGATTTCTCACATTAATTTTAGTTTTCTATTGAGATCCACAGAGACTGAAAAAATTTTTCAGTATTGTGTAGTAGGCTGAAGTGTGCTGCTTATGGGTTGAGCTCCAAAGGGCTGTCATCTCCTGAGTTGCTCCAACCCCCTTATGTGTCTTAGTTTCTCTCTCTAGCTGTTAATGCAACTGTGAGGACTCAGAGCACTAGGTTTCCAGCCTTTCTGCGCATGTCCCTGGATGAGTCAGTTATTTAATTATAGTTGTGTTGGAATTCCCTATGGGGCACTGCTTGTCTTGAGGGGTACCTTCAGACACCTCTCCATGGATTCTTAGTAACCTAAGCACTCCCAAAATTTGAGCTGGAGGGAGTAAATGCCTCTCAACTTCAGAGCTGAGAGTTCAGACTCTCATTTATCTAGCAAGAGGTATTCTTCAGACTCCCAGTAAGCAATTCTAATTGAAAAGCCAAAATTAAAAACCAGCCACCCATTTTTTTCTCCTGTTACTGAGTTATCTCAGCTCTTATCTTTTAGTGCCACCTCGAGAATTTTTTTTTCCTAAGAACAGCTGAAATAAAGTCAGGGCCTTCTACCTTAAAACAGAGAAGTCTAGAATTCCAAGAAAAAGTCACCCAAATCCACTTAATGCAAAGTAGGAGCCAGTGTGGCACAATGGGCCCCTGCTGGTACCTGGCCATAGGTCCAGGTCTGCAAGGTGGTCCTGGGCGGGTTTCTTTGGAATCCTGCCCAAACATCCACACCTGTAGCAAATTTTCATGAGCTTATATGAGCCAAACTGACCATTGCCAGGAAGCAAAATCTCAATGGATTGAGAAAGTGCTCTAGAGAACAGTTTTGCAGCTTATTTTTACATTAGAATAAAAGGAGGAGAAGTAAGGAGCATACATGAAATCCATTGGTAGTAGATTAAGAGGGCAGGAGAAAGCAAAATCGGGGGAATCTCTGGGATTGGATAAAAAATAAAATGGAGAGATACATACTTCTACATTGGTGGGTACAGGATAGTTAATAATGAACATCTACAGCACATAGAGATGGTATGCAGGGAATAAGATAACGATGAAGGGTTCTTGTGGTCCTGTGCTCTAGTGCAGAGGTTGTGCCCTGAGGAGTCTAGAAAAGATGACTCTAGCATTTCAAAGGTATGTTATCTTAGATGCAACAAGACAATAGCCAGGCTCACTTAAGGTCAAGATTGACCTTTGTCAAGGAAGCTACAGGCCCAGGATGTGACTACAGGCCATGAGTCACTTTTAGTTAGGAATTTTTATGTTCAGGTCATCCTCTGTGGTTACTTGCGTTCTGTAAGTTTGCAGGGCTCACCATGGTGACCTCCCCTGAGCTTGTCAGATTTAGTATGTGGCCCCTTTTTTGTCCACATAATTGTTTCTCCTTTTACATGGAAATGTAAAACATGTTACAAGCAACTGCACCTTTCAAATGAAAGTGCAGTGCAGGTTAAATTGTCTAGCTCAGGAATGAGTTGGGACTAGATATCAGAATTGTAAACTCTAGATTACCTACTTTAATACCTTGGCAAATCATCCCATCCCATGAATGCCGGACAACGATGAAATAGCAGAGCTGCACCTGCCTAGGTTAAGTTCTTCAATTTAACTAAGATTTCCTTATATGCCAATTACGCTTCTCAAGAGATTTTCAGTTCCCAGCACAGAATGAATACTATTTAAAAGGCAGAAATAAAATGTTAAATAAATAAACAAACAAACTGGGAAAAAATAAATAATAAATAAAAGGCAGAAAGTATGCTAATTAAAGTGAACTTTTTTTCATTTTCCATTTTTCTCTAATTTGTTTCATTGTTTTCTTTCCTGGGTAGTTAGGAGGTGGGGAATGAAGTATTTTAGAGAAAACAATAGTGTCAGAGAAGGACAGAGCCCCTTTTCTTTCTTCCTAAGAGCTTCACAACTCTGTTGTGTGCTTTGTTTCCAGAAAGATAACCCTTCCCCCAACCCCTGCCCAGAGCTAATATCTACAACTTTCAAGATGGTCTGAGCCTGCTGGGTGGGACAGACATGTAATTGAAGTACCTTCTTCAGCCTAAGAAATAATTTTGAAACTCTGAAATTACATATGTCTAGTATGGATTATACTGGGTTCCCCACCCATACTACCATTAAAAATCCCTTCAGAATCCCATAATGTAATTAAAAGAATAGCATCTCTTCAAAACCTATCTAATTGCAGACCAGTCATTCAGTACAGCAATCGTTTTTATAGACACTGAACAAAAGCTTTAGGCAAATGAGCAAATCATATTGTTGAAAGAAAATGAAGAAAGAAACTAGTTAAGACAGAATGTAAATTCTAAAGCTTTGAAAGCTGGAGGGTGGGGAGTGGAAGGAAGAAAGGCGATCCACACCACAAGGAAATTCTATGTCCATACTCTTTGGAATCCTAATGGAATAAGCACTCCTCATTCCCAATACCTGTTTTTTTTTTGAACCTGAAAAATCACTAGGTTTTTTCACACATAGTAAAAGGGAAAACTGCATTTGAAAACCCATGTTAGTTTTGGTTTCATTTATTTGCATGTTTAAACTAAATATGTATTTAGGGGGCTTGATTTGTCCAATGTAAATATCATTTTCAAATTTGACAATTTTAAAAAATGTTCTTTCAGACCATTTAAGGCAAATTAATCTTCATAGTGTAGGATCCTAAGATGTACAGGCAACTAGTTTCCAGTGAGCAAGAAACTGGGCTAAATGCTGTGGAGGGATCAGAATGATTGAAAATTTATTAAGTAATGGTTTAAGTTACAGGACCCACTATACCTTGGACAGAGGGAACACATGTAAGTAGATCAATATAATGTGACAAGTGCTAAGATAGGTATGTGTACAGTGTTGTGGAAGAACAGAAGAGGGCGCTATCACTCAATTTTATTGCTAAATTACCTACAAGCTGTGTTTTGATAACCAAAACAGAAAATGATCCCAATACCTAAATTAAAAAAAAAAAAATTACTGTCTGAATTATTTGTTGTC